GCCTATGAGGTTGTGGTTCTTGATCTAGATTTGCGCAAGTCCCTTACTTCACTGAAGCGCCATGATCAACAACATTTGCCTGTGAGTGGAGCTAATGTCTGCTTACAGATACTAGGTGAAAACACAAGCCCACTCATTTGAATACCCTGAGTAATCAGGATGCAGTATCTCAGAGGCTAGACACTCAGAGGCATCAACAAACAAAATCCGATGGACATCGGGGGCTGATGACAATCCTGGCCAGGTCCCCGGTCAGCTTTCATTCTGGTCATTAATTCACAGTCTCTTCCCTTTACCTCCCCTCTCTTCCTTCCCCTCCCCTCCTCTGCTCTCTCCTTTCTCTTTTTTACTGGACAATTTATGCTCTGGGCTGTTTATAAGTAGATGAAATCTGCCGATCTATTCTTGGGCTTCATGTGGAACAAAAATGAGGAAACTGCATTCCAGACAAACCTTTACTAAAATCCAGCTTTGTTACCATAAAATCAACTTGGCTTCACATCCCCATGTGTAAAGGCACTGGATTCCGTGATCCCCAAAGCTCCTTCTAGCTGTAAAATGTGCAGTTTTGCTTACTCACAGGATCACCGCCCTGCTCTGAGCAGTTGGCCCTGTGACTAAGAGCAGACTCTCCCTAAGAATGAGCTGCGAGTTCCAATTTGGGGTGAAGACAGGCTCCACTGTGGTCTCTTCTCCTGCAATTAGATCCCCTTTCTACTGTTTCTGGTCATCCCAATGGACTCTCTACCATGCCATAATTCTTCAAGGTAGAAATCAGACTATACATACATACATATATACATACATGCCTGCATATTATTATCTGGATTATGAAAAGCCACTGGCCATGAGGGGTTTGTTTTCCCATATCAGCATCCTAAAGTCCCTACATTTCCCTTCAATTCCATCTCTATCATGTATATTTAGTTATTATTACTAATTGATCAAATGGCTAATTTCTCTTTTAAGTGTCATGTAAATAAAATTTACCGTATTCCCTCCTCAGAACAATGTCTTCATTCCAGATAATAAAGTTTTGCTATTTTTATATAAAAAGGGAGAGCCGAGTTCATAAATGTTAGAGCTTAATCCACAATACAGGCATACTTAGCTTGACAGCTGCAGTACCAGAAATGGCAATGAATACTGAAAGTTACACATCCGTGATATTAGCTATAGATTGGTAGTGTATCATTATCCCCGTGTGGCTTGAGTCCAACTCTGCACATCCTGTCGGTGACCCTGGGCTACTTATCTGTGTTTCAGTTCCTCCCATCTCATGGGAAGACGGTATATTTAAATGAATTAAGATTGGTAAAATGCTTAGGACGATGCTTACCAGAGGAAAAATAAATTATGATTATGGTTTTTCAGGGAAGGAATCAAAGAGAATAATCCATATTCAGAAGGGTTTGAAAGGGGCCAGTGAACAGGAGGCAGAGGAGGGGTGGGAGCTATGGGAGAGCATAACTGTAATAAGAATACAGGTGACTAGGGACAACAGGAGGGAATTCTACAAGTTTCCTCTCAGGCCTCTTCAAAACATGAAGCTAATGTTTACATGAGTCCTAGACCTCTGTGTAGACTGTCCCAGCACTGAGATGCCAGGACCGGGATGGAATAAGCCAGTTAGTTAAGGAGTCCGTGCACTACAGCATCTCACAGACAGACTAGCACAGGGTTCAGCCCACAGAGGCAGTGTCAATATGAAGAGGGACGCTTAAGAGAAATCCCACTCTAGCTCAGAAGTGAGTATAATAGAGGGATATTTATTTAGGAGTAGACTCACAGATCACAACCCTCTGCTGGAACAGGGAATAGCAACCGAATCCCACAGCCACAAAAGAGGCGGGACAAGCGCTTTACATAGGCATATATAGTATAAGGGGCCATGCCCAAGTGGGTGGGGAACTTAACTGCTAATGGTGGTAGGAATTCCTACAACACCTCCCCTTTTGTTTAAATAAGAAATTTCTAAGTCTAATACAAAATTATATGCAATAAGAACAAGTATCAGGTATAAAAATTAGAATTATAAGCAGCATAAACAATATCAAGCAAGAAACATGATAAATGTTTCAATAATTATCCTATCCTAAGGAGTTTAAGTCTTGTATGTAAATAACTTGGCCAAGTCATGAGAGGAAAGTTAATTACATCTATCTAGTCTTCAACCTCATCAAAGACCCAAGAAGAGAAATAATATTACTTGAGTAAGCAGGAAGTGCAATCAAGCAACTTCCAAAATTTGCAACAAATGTCAGAGACAACTAGATACCTGGGTAAGCACCCAAAGTCTTATTTGCAACATTGGAACAACCAACTTTGGCTAAGGCCTACAGTAACTGACCATTTTTAGAGGCAGGAAATTTGTCAAAGCGTTTTCTTACCCTGTCTTGGCAAGGTTTGGCAGTCTTTTTTCTAGTATCCTGCTTGTCCTGTCCAGACATCATGCATTTTGTCAGTGGTCAATGCACAGGCAGTTCCTTTCCCAAAGGCCAGTTTTGCCAAGAAGAAAACAAACTCCAAGTGGAGTTTCTTTGGTGCTCAACATTCTCTCAGGAATAGATCAGTGCTGCCAGGAGCAATCGTGTCTCACTTCCACAGAACCCTAAGTTATTTAAATGCCATATTCTACAGCTCTTTGAACTGGTTGAAGATTACCTATCTATGCAGAATAAATCTCTATGTATCAAAAGAACCTGATTAGTCTAACTATAAGTATGACAAACATGGATGACTACTGACCTATGAATCTTAATACCTATATAACTTAAAGACTAAGACTTCATGTTAGAATATTAAACAATCTTGAAACAACTGTGCAACAAATGAGGACAATGATCTCAAAATGTAAATAATGTTTAAGTATCTTTATCAGAGGTAAAAATGTATACTGCAATATGATAAATTTATCCTAAAATTGTATTAATATTATACAAAATGTCTTAAGCAGTGGTAGAAGCATATATGCATACAATATGACAAAATAACTTTGCCTAGATATACAAATATGCTAGACTAAAATAGGAACATATTCAATATAATTTAAGTTTGTATCAATATACAAGAATACATATCAATGTAAATTGCCTATAAATAACAGCTCATAAGTATTCACTCCATTACTCACTATTATTATTAGTATGAGTAAGCTCACACTTATCTATTTTTTTGGCTTTGTATTAACTCATATCTTTTTTTTTATTTATTAAAGATTTCTGTCTCTTCCCCACCGCTGCCTCCCATTTCCCTCCCCCTCCCCCAATCAAGTCCCCCTCCCTCCCTCCCTCGTCAGCCCAAAGAGCAATCAGGGTTCCCTGCCCTGTGGGAAGTCTCACACTTATCTATTATCCCATCCAATTTCCTCTTTAAAAAAAAAAAAAGAGATCCCCGAGTTTACATAATTCTCCCCATCCCCCAACCCTATACAAATTATAATCAACCCCTAAATGATGTCCCTAACCCTGAGGACAAACTTTGTTGGGAGAGGGGACATTGTCTTCTAGATTTACTGCCAGCTGTCATGGGGGTGAAGTTCTTTCTATGGGATCCTGTGAAAGTAAAATGATGGTTAAGTTCCAAGATTACTGTCTGGTATAATTGCAAATAGTCTCTGAGTATTCGGTAGGGTTTTTCTAATCTATTATCAGATCCACAAATAGAGGTGTCAGTCACCCTCAAACCTCCAGCAGCCACAGGCTCCTCAGGCCACCCACGGAGGAGACCCAGCCTGGCTGTGTCAAGAGACTGGTATGTTGACACACTTGCCACAGTTGCCACAGTTACCACAGGGAAGTCGACCTCCCACTCGCTTGCATGCACATGGGAGGGTAGTGTTCAGTGTCTCACCTGGGTTCTTAAACATGTCCTTGATATATCTTCACAAGACACCCTCATACTCAGATCGAAAAGGGTACATTGCATTTAATGGTGGGGGAAACACTTGCCCCCCTATGAGATTACTGGAAGTCAGACTGAGGGGCTTAGTTCTAGGAAGCCTCTGTCAATACAAAGGCTGAGTTCCGCTGTGGAGAGCTGAGGTATCTAAGAGGTCTATTTGCAGTTGACTGTACCATTTTGGAGGTGTCCTGGGAGGCGATGCATTTGAGGAGTTAAACATGAAATGATATTAAAAGCAAGAAAAGCTTCAAGAGGATGCTTCCACTTTATAATTCTCCCCTATCCAAATCCCAGGCTGGCCATACACTTCCAATCTCCAGCCTCTGCCTCCCAAGCGCTAATGAACTTTTAAACACTGCTTCTCAACATAGTCTAAAAGCTTGACTTCTAGCTTAGAGGAACGGATCACAGTGGTCAGAGGAGGCTGTTTCTCATGAGACACTCTTCCCAGAGTGCCCCATTCTTAAAGCAGGCAGCCTTCCCACTTGCAGCTAAGCATAACTTGCCACAGGGTGCATCTGGTGCTGGCTGATGGCTGGCTTCCTTTCTGAAGTCCTTCCTGTTGCTGCACAGAGCCTCAGCCTGGGTCACTGCTAACCGCGCACAGTGTGCCGTGCAGAGGCTTGCGGGATCAGAAATGCTGATGGGTGTGGGAGAAGAAAGGCCCAGAACCTATGTTTGCAGAGTGTATTGCATTTTATTCAGGGTTGAACAAGTGCCTAGTAAACCCTCTAGAGACAGAAATCATTTCACACGTGGATGTGGAGGAAGCAGAGTGTCTCACATTCTTAGCGTGAGGGTAGGAGAGTGGTGGTTGGGAAGACAGTCTAAAGCACGAGAGTGGTGGTTGGGAAGACAGTCTAAAGCACGAGAGTGGTGGTTGGGAAGACAGTGATGGTAGGAGAGTGGTCTTGGGAAGACAGTGATGGTAGGAGAGTGGTGGTTGGGAAGACGGTCTAAAGCACGTTTCTTCTTTCCCATGCCCACTGCGGTCAATGTGTGGGCTTTGGCTTCCTGCCCACACGTTCGAGGAAACATCATCTGAGATAAAGAACCCAAGAGTAGCTCTGTCCTCTGACACCTCTGTCTGTCCACAGATCAGGAACCACACCAACTATGCTTCCAGCTCCACCTCCCTGCCCCGCCCAGGCTCCTCGGCTCTGATGTGGAGTGACCAGCTGGAAAGGTAAGACAAAGGGGCAGCCAGCTCGACTGAAAAGCCTTTGTCCTTGACTCGGGTCTGTCTACTGATGCCTCTGAGAATCAGAAGGTAGGGACTGAGGAGATGGCTCAGTCTGTGAGAGCTTGCCTCAAGCGTGCGGACCTTGGTTCAACACGCAGAACCCATGCCAAAAGCCAGGTGTGGTGTGCGCCTGTAATCTCAGTGATGGAGGGGGGGGAGATAGTGGAATCCCTGGAGTTTACTGGCCAGCTCGCCTGGACACTGAGAGACACTGTCTCAATCAAAAAGGGGAAGTTACCTGAGGACCAGCACTCAAGATTTTCCCCTGACCTACACACACACACCCATTTTGATCCAGGAAAGCGAAACTCGACAGAGAGGCTTTCTTTTGTGAAACCCTTCAGACACCTCCTTCCACAGAGACCCGTTCCAGCTTGGACTTAGGACAAATCAGCTCCTCCACCCCGCCGTTGAGCGCTCATAACAAGATGCATAATAAGTGTTTTACGACCGAGTCAGTGTTTTAATTAGACACCAGAACCCAAGGTCTTGGCCACATGGCCAGCGCGCTCTCAGTTCCCCTTTGGATTTGATTTGATTTGTATGAAATGTGTCCTCCAGTGAACAAACACTCTGGAAAACAGAGCAAAGTGAAGAGCAAGATGTGTGGTTGACGCTGTTAAATTTAGAACATCAGTTCTCCCCCGTAACACTGTCTTCCATGTGTCTGTTAGGGACTCCAGAGCCATGGGCGGACTGAATGAAGTCTGCCAGCTTGATTGTACTCTGTAACCTATGTCCAAAAGAGAGGATGCGAAGAAAAGGGTTTCACTGTTTTTAAAGACAACACACTCGGCTTATCAAGTAAGTGGGAAGCCAGTGTGCTCACTGTATTTCATTCTCTGGTTTTCCGGATGTGAAGAGTAGCCTCTTCTCAGTACACGGTGTTACTGTGAATGTGGATGTTCAAGAGCCTAATATCTCATCTCTGCCATTTATCACCTCCTGGCTGTGGTAACTGAGAGAGAACTGGTTCAGTTTTACAAAGGAAATAACTGAGTATGTTTCTCCATGAAGTTGGAAACTAGACCAGCAAGAATACGCTGGTGGACTCTGGGAAAGCTTACAGGCCGTGAGGCTGGAGCTGGGGAGAAGGCTCAGTGGCTAAGAGCACTGGCACCTCTTGTGGTAGACCTGGGCTCAGTTCTCAGCATCCATGTTAGGCAACTCACAGCTGCCTGCAATTCCACCTCCAGGGGTCTGACTCTTCTCTTTACGGACACCAAACTTATGCACATGTGCCCTTCATTTAGCATCTGTGAGATCAAATATGCACACCCAGACATACCGTGACTCTGTCCTTCCTTGTTACAGAGCGTGAAGGGAAGACAGAGGGTAACTTATTTCCACCTCTTTTTTTGCTAGTTTCACCTTAAGGCTTTTAAAAATATCATTTATTTTGTTAGTGTGTTTATATGTCTGTGCATGTGTCTGTGTGAGTAGATGTTGGGGGGGGTATCTGTCTATCTATCTGTGTGCCTGTCTGTCTGTCTGTGTGAGTAGATGTTTGGGTGTGTGTGTGTCTGTCTGTGTGTGTGTCTGTCTGTGTGCCTATCTGTCTATAATTGCATATGGAAGCCAAAAGAGGGTAATGAGTGCCCTCCTCTGTCATCCTTACTGATTCCTCCCTTACCTCTGCACCATCTCTCCAGGTACTTTACTCATTCCTTTAAGGTAGGCTCTCTCCCTGAACTTGCAGCTCATGTCCTCTTGGCTAGGCTGGAATCAGCAAGGCCTAGTGAGGGCACGGGGGTGTGTAGTATTCCTGGCTTGTTCTGTGTGTGCTGAGTTCTAAACTCTTGTCATGTTCTTGCACAGCAAGAAATCTTAACCCTAAATCAGTTCCCTAGGCCCTTGTTTTTAATTTTTAACATAAATTTGACTATAGTTTTGCCTTATTAAGGAGATAAAAAAATTAGGCCAGGCTCTGCATAGAGACTTTGGAAAGTGGGAAAAAAAATGGGAAACTCTGGGGATTTGGCCCAGTGGTGGAGTGCTGGCCTAGCATGTTCAGGGGTGGGCTCCCTCCTCAGCAACAACAAATAAGCCAATAACCCAGGAGAGGGTGATTGCTGGGCTCTAGTTCCTCAGCTCCAGAGAGCCATCAGTCATCACTGTCTTACAGTCCTTTTCATTCTTTCTAATATACTTCTCTTCTTTAGGCACTTTTTAAACCGTGTGTGTGTGTGTGTGTGTGTGTGTGTGTGTTCATGTGAGTGCAGATGCCCACAGAGACCAGTAGAGGGCATAAGATCCCCTGGAGCTGGAGTGACTGGCAATGGTGAGACACCCAATATCAGCCCTGGGGAACTGAATTCAGGTCCTCTACAGTAGCAGAGAGTGCTTTCAACAGCTGAGCTGTCTTTCCAGTCTCTCTCTGTATACTCCTAAAAATTTTGTCTGGTACAATTATTGCAAGGATTTTTAGGCATTTTTTACTTGTGCTTTTTTTGAATCTTGTTCTCATTTCTTTGATGTAAAACATGCACTTCTCAGACTATTTAAAGCACATTAGAAAGTTAGTATATGCTGTACCCAAGAGTTTATCAAGGAGCACACTGCAGCTCCCTCACCCAGAATTTGCAGTCACCCTGGGTACCATGTGCAGTCAAAATGCTTTCTAAAAGAATTAAAGATTTGAAATTCTGTCAGTGAGAAACTGACCAGCACGGCGCATTACCTTAAAATCTGGCAGAAGAACTTAGCTGATATGAGAAAGGCTGCGTTTTACAGGGGGCTCCTTATTTTAGAATAGAATAGAATAGAATTTAGAATATAACAGTTATATACTCCTTGAGACTTGCTGTATGCAAGACAATCTGTATTTGACGTACCTGTAAGTGACCTTATTTACAAAGCACACCTAATTTCTACACACATGTGTTTTGGCCATAGATGGCATATGCATTTCTTATTTATATGTTACTTTTACTCTATGCACAAAAATAAATCATTCCCACTGTACTTACAGGTCTCTCTTTGTGTTTTGACAGATGACAAACACCCCGAGGTGGACTTTCACTGCAGTCCCTGCTTCCCTGGGTCTGTGAATTTCTTCCCCCTGAGAAAGATAATGGAATATTTTGGATTATTTTCCTTCTTTGGGCCACAGGTTTTAATTTTTTTTCTTGCCATTAAACACACGGAGACCCTGGACTTCTGGATGCTGATTGGCCCCCGTCAGGACTGGGACTCTGCACTTGAGGAGTAGGTCAGAATTGCACACCCTCGTCTGGTGGGCAGCACAGACGGACTTGATACAGCGGTGTCTCCAACTCCAGCCGCACGGGGACATCGTCACGTGTTTTAGCAGTTTGATTCTTCTACATAAGTTTGAAAAAGCAGCGTAACTTTTTAACAGGAAATCATTCAGGTATTGAGAGCAATTGTCCATATAATAAACTATGAGTTTAATGAGATTTTAAAAAAAAGCCACATGAGAAAGCGGGGTGTTGTGCAAACAGTGTTGTGCCAAGCTGGCATGGGACACCACAGAGTTGTGTGTCCTCAGCGAGGCTTCTGGGGATAGGCCCTTCAGTAATTCAGGAATTGCAACATTGTCTCTCTGCTTTTAAAGGGAGCAGTTCAGCTAAGGGGCCTTCCAAGTGTCACTAACAGTTCCAAGGCTAGATGATTAAATGTTCAGTTAAAGCCATAAAAAGGAAAACCAGATACAGCCAGCTAACTATGGTTCCAGTTCAACCTTACTTCTGAGTCAACATCAACTTAAGATTTCTCACAATTTGTGCTCAGGCAGCACACACAAAAAGAGCAAAATTCATAAGATTTTAAATTATTTATCAGTTATTCTACATCTAACTAAGTCTGTGACTTTTTATGAAATAAAATAATTTTGTCTATATTGAAATAGTGAACTTTAAAAACTATCTGAGTTCTTTAACAGCGTCCAACACCTTCACCTGCTTGTAAATCCAACAGCCTCTTTTTCCTTCCTCAACCTGCCCTCTGGATTTCTTTCCCCATCCCCAGTTCTTTTAGTTCAGCAGATATTCAGTGTCTGCCTAGACACTCACAGCACCACGCTGTCACCTCTGTGGGCGTCTCAAGAAAAGATGAGACTCTGGGATCTGTTGTTTCGCACTCGGAGCCTGTACCGGGTGCACTCTATCTACCTATAACTAAGTGGTGTGGTCTCTGAATCCGCTGTCAACTCCCACAGCTTTATTTTGATCTGTTTTTACAACAGTCTTCAGCAGCCATTAGCCAGTCATTTTTACCACGCACTTCTGAGAGTTAAGCTCAGTGACCACCACGAGAATGTCCATCGCTCACCGCCACGGGTATCTAGCTGTCATCTACTATTTCATCTTCACAGACCGAGCTCTGGACAGTGTTCCCCATCAGGACCATCAGTTAAGGTTTGGTGCAATGACGCCCCACTTACAGGACCAGTGATGTAGCAGGATCATGGGCTTTGAAGCAAAGTTGGACTTGACTCGCCATACACCATGCACAGGCCCTGTCTGTGACCTTGAGAAAGCTTCATTACATACCACTGGGTCTCAAATTATCCTACCCATGAGCTGAAAACAGTGCTTCCTGTAGGGTTATTGTGATGACCTCTGTGAAGCATATGCAATGTGTCAGGTCACTAAGCATTGACTGATTAATTAATTGTTCAGAATTATCTTCAAGTACTTGCTATGAGCTCTCAGTTTCGATTTCAAACTGACTTCCTTACTCCCTGCAGTTGAATGTCGTGGGCAGAATCCACTTCAAACCCATGCTTTAGTGTCTCTAAGACCTCGGCATCAGTTCTACCGTTGCAGAATGTCCCATGTGTTCTCTCCTTGTCCTTGGACAATTCATATCTGCGTCCTCATCTGTACCCTCGTCCTGATGCTACATGGAGCCCACAGCATCTTTGCACACTGCCTTAAACGCTTTCACTCTCTGTGGTTTTCCCCCTTTCCTATATTGTCTTTATCTATCTCTTAGCTCTGTGTTATCAGACACCTAGGAAGCTGCTGTTGATTTAATTAATTATCAGCAGGGAGACATTTATGTACAGGACTACAGTCTGAAAGAGGAAAGACTTCGGTGGGAAGCTGCTTCCATATCACCATTATTAACTTTCTAATTTTTGTGTCTGTATCCAAGCGATCTAATCACACTCATTTCAGCATGAGAGTGTAAAGCTCCTTTTGTGGACGTAAATAATAATGAGGCAACTGAAAAAAAAAGTTTGACAAAGGTGATGTCCAGACACCAGACTGGCCCTTTTGTGACTCACCTAAACTCTGAGAGAAAAAGTATGTGTCTGTGTAAAATACGACTGGTGCTGCTTTTAAAAAACAGGCTTTAGTTTTTAGTGCAGGTTTAGGTTCTCAACAAAGCCGAGTGGGATCCAAAGGCCCCTTCGCCTTTTTGTCCGAGGAAAGCATCTATTGCAGAGCAGATTCTGCTGCACCGTGCACTCGTGCTGTGGTTCAGAGACGCGTGAATCAGCTTTAAGGTCCTTGTCCTCGCTATCATAAGTAAACACTCTCCTCATGATGTAATGGGGTTGACACAAGGGCTAATCCTCCCAATAAACCACTGAGCTCCACTGAGCTGCTGCCCCAACACACAGCATATAGAGAAGCGGAGTTGATCAGTGGTTATAACCAATTATAACACCAACCATAAGACTTGTGGGTTAAACACGTGAAGTTGTGTAACATTAATGTGCTAAGTGGATGTGCAGACATGAGTTCGTGCCCCTTTTCACATATATGCAACCGAGTCTTTTAGCTATATGTAATATATTTGTGTAAGATACTACATGTATTATGTGTATGGTTCTTTATATAATGTAACAAATATATAAGCTGGCGTGTATGACATATCACATGTTACTATATCGAATATGTCCTGTGTGTATTGCATGTAGTATGTTTTGCATCACTTCAGCCCTCTGGCATTTGCACCGGAGGAAAGGAGTTACTGAAAAGTCCAATATCCAGTGCTGTCTCTTCGCACCAGCACAGACCAGTGTGAATGAAAACTGGCATAGAAAAGCCCACTAGGCTGGTTCTGTGATGTGAGGCCAGGATAATGGGAAAGGCTGCCAAGCCTGCCATAAGAGCCAGGCCTGGAGAAAAAGCAGCTGTGCTGGTATTCGGAGACGTGCTTTCACTAGAAACTGTATTTGTCCCAGTCTCCCCAGGAGAGAAGAGAGAAGCAGATCCGTTGCCTTGTACAGGTGCATGTGGATATGCGTCTTGTAGTTATATAGGAGTCTACAAGACACAGAAAATTCAGACTTTAATTGGTCTGCTCTTTTATTATTTATAAGAAAAGCTGAAAATTAGGATAAAGATGAAGTGAAAGTTATAGAAGTCTATAAAATGTATTTAAAATGGCACAGTCTTCCCATACCCTCAATATTTAGGACTGTATTTGGGGCATGGTAAGATAACTGTCGCAGTGTGGGCATCTTAAGGCTCTGTTCACTATACTTTACTTGCTATAATGATGTAACTATGTCCTTGTCTTGATTCACGCTGTGTGTTTCAGGAATCTGCGGTTTACTAACCGTTCTGTTGATTTTTAATGTTGAGGCAATACTGTAAATATAAGTGGTTCTTGTTTTATCTATTCCTAAGGCTTGGTTTTTATTAAATGAAATGTTTTTTATATAAAGATAATTTGTGTGAAGCCCATTCTGATATCCTTTATAGTTGCTTTTGAATACTGGCCACATTGTGGGTTTCCAGGACCTGGCCTTTGTGTGTCTTGGGATCCAACAGAACCAGCGCTGTTGGGGCCAGGAACACAGAAGGGACCAGTAAAGACATAGTCGTCCGTGATCTGCCTGTGGCACATGGGAGTGGTGCCAAAGTTCTGTGTGCTCCCTGCCTACCCAGCACAGAGAATGATCTACAGGAACCGTGCTTTGGGTCTTGAATGAGTTTATTGAGTTGGTAGCAAGAGAAGGTAGAGGAGTCAATAGTGAGTAACATCTAGAGAGAAGCAGCAGCCTTCCCCAGGACATCGGATTCGATGCTCGCAGCATCTGGCAGGGATGCCTGGAGGAGCACAACTGAGACAGCAGGAGAAGGCGACGTCATCAGTGGGGCTGAAGACACCCAGCAGAGGGAGGCTGGAGAAGCCCTGCTGAGGCAGCCAGATGGAGTTCCTAATGAGCTTTCTCTCCATGGATGAGCTTCCCATCCTCACCGTAGACAGTTTTATATTATGGGGTAGACAATACTAACCTTGGCTGGAAATGAAGTTTTGAAGGGCACAGTGTTTTCCCTCCTTCCCATCGCAGAGCCAGGGAACAGCTTGACACAGGATAGGGCAGGGCCTGTTGGAGGACTCTTGACATAAACAAGCGTGGGTCTGCCACGGAGAGAACAAGCAGCTTGTGCAGCCTGCTCCAGAGTGAACACCCGTGAGAACTTGCCAACATGATTTACACATGCCCTCTCTGGGCCATTTGGGACAGACTTTATTTAGGTTTGAGCCTACAGATGATGTCACTAGACTTCTTACAGAGAACAATTATAAATATGTTTTAATATGGAGTGACTATCCTAATAGAGAGTGAAAAAAACGCAAGCCTACAAGTAAGAGAACGTTCACCAAGGTTTGCGCCTTCCCTAGGCATGGGTGAACGTGAGCCGCACCTACAGGCCACGGCAGGCAGAGGACATAAGGCACAGAGGATGAGCGGAGCACAACCTGCACCTGAGGTAAGGAGAGGAAATGAACACCTGGAGAGGGTTTAGGCTGCTGTGTAGGGTTCCCTCTCAGAAACAAGCATGTCAGCGAGTGTCACTGTTCAGTTTACTTCTTTGGTGATTGACAGTAATGGTCTATCGATTTAACGTTTGGCTGAAATGCCAAATTCCTTTCAGTGCCTTAGAGTTACACATGAAATATTTGTGGAGCCGCACTTGGGGAAAGCAAATACGATTCTGCCTACACATTCAAAGCCAGAGCTGAGCAACAAGTACTGAAATGCGTGGCCCAGGGAGGGAGAGGAAATGAAATGTGTCCGGATAAACCAAATCTCTGAAATCTCAACATGAAGCAAAGCAAGGGCTCCCAGTAACATTGAAGATTAAATCAAGGAGGATGATAAAAACTGGAAGACTTCTAAGTGTGGTCTGACAACCTGTCTCTATAAAAAACTCACTGAGTGCCCTAAGGTGGGTGAAGAAGGTTCCGGGGCTTTGGTGATAAAGGATATGAAAGAGGTTTTTAAGCAATATTAAATAAATGTCGTTCTAAAGAAACGGGGGGGGGGAGGGAGGTAGAAGGTCTTAGAAAAAGGAAGGAAAGATCAAACTCGTTTGTGTTTCCTTGAGCTGACTGAATGAATACTCCATTCTACACATTTCTCTCAGTTCTATTTTTACTACAGGATTCAATCTAAGCATCATTCATTCCCCACCTGAATTACAGGGCCTGGCTTTTGACCCCCATATCATCTTCTGTATCAGCTGCCAGAGTCACATTTGTTCATAAACTGAAAGCCCACTTGTCTCCTTTCTTAACCCTTACATTGTTCTTCCTTGAGATCCAGGATACAATTCAAACCAGGGATGTAATCCATGGTGTTTTCTACCATCCTGTGTCTTTCATCTTCATCTTGCTCTCTAGTGAGGGCAACTAGCAACTACTATCCCTACATACTGGGGGCTCCAACCTCATCCCTATGTGAAAACCCTAACTCGTGTGTCAGGTAAAGAAACCACTCCCTCAAGGAACCTTTTCCTGTTTTGCTTGTGAGCCTAGCCTTTAACGTCTGACTCACCTCTCCAGTTCAGCTTTTTCTTTTTTTATTGACCCAGGGTTTGATTGCTAATTAGGCAAGCCCTCTACCACTGCACACTCTAACTGAGCTTCTTTCGTTGAAAATATCTCTGTATTATACTTCAGCCACCAACTCAGCAATGGCTGGAAGGTCCTACTTCAGAGCTACTGAGTAATAGCTTCTCACAGTGGTCACCAGCAGCCTGTGCATGAGAAGCTACAGGTGACCGTCAGGGTGGTGGGGTAGCCATCAGCTGTCTGTGTACAAGAACTAGCTCCAATCCCCTCCACTGTCATATATGACTCTGAGAGCAAGAAGTTAGGAATGGCTGAAGATTCCCTGAGGAAAGACCTCAAGTCAAGGTACTGCATGCTGCCCTCCTGGCATCAGTGCCTCCCTTTCTGTTTTGTAAGGAGTGGCTTCACTTTGGCATGTCTCTTTTAACTAATCTGTAACATCCTCTCTCACCTCAACATCAAAGAGACTTCTTATTTCCCTACCCTAATTTCCCAGCTGACATCCTGCAATGAGCACCCACCGGCTCTGGTCACTGGAGGCATGGGCTCTCACCTCCATCACATGGGTCTCAACATTAGAATACATACGTAGCATTGCTACACCTTTTTGAGGGTTTTCTAAAGGAGGAGAATCTGTATTGTCCCTCCTTTCTTTGCCTTTGGAAGGCCAAGGCCAGGAGGAGCGATGCCCACTTGTAAAATGACCCTGGGTTTTGAGAATGACTCTTGAGGACATTGATAGCAAACATTCTGGCTTAGAGTACAGTAGAAACAGAGAGGGACCCACAATGTGGCAGGGGTATCTGCCTGTCTCAGAGGGAAAGGTGTTTAGCTTTCTGTGACTGTGGGGACAAAGGACCACAGAGTAATTTAAACAGGGACAACTTAGCCTCACAGTATTGGAGACCAAAATTCCAAGACCACAGTTCTGGCATGGCTGACTCTGCCGTGTGGGTAACACGCTGTGACGTCAGTACATCACACTCTGCCTGAACATTTCACACGACACAGCCTCCGTGCTCAAAGGCCCCTTCCTTACACAGCTTCGGCAAAACTGGATCAGGGCCCTGCCTACCTCATCCTGGTGTATGCACTTACAGCTTCATTAGGACACAGGAAGGGAGAATGAAACTCTTCACTGAAGGACCAATTGTGTTTCACAGCCCTTATCATGAAGATTGGATGTAGGCACGGCTTAAAAATCCCAGCAATCTACGTCAGCCCTGGTTGCAATTTAGATAGGCAATTCAAAAGTAATCAGACATCTGACTCCAAAATACTTGGAGTATTACTCTGTAAAAAAAATAAGTCATACACATTTCATAAACATGTGATAGAAAGATGCTTGTGTTGTTTATGCCAGATTTTTTTTTTTTTTTGGTTTTTCGAGACAGGGTTTCTCTGTGGCTTTGGTGCCCATCCCAGAACTAGCTCTTGTAGACCAGGCTGGCCTCGAACTCCCAGAGATCTGCCTGCCTCTGCCTCCCGAGTGCTGGGATTAAAGGCGTGCGCCACCACCGCCGGGCTGTTTATGCCAGATTTTAAATGACCAAATCAAACTAAAAGAGTTCCATGCTGGGGAAGACAGAAAACTCTAGACATTTTTAGAGGAGTTAAGTTTTCAACTCGAGTTGATCTCACAACTTTAAATGTCAGATTTCTGCCTGACAGGATCTAAGTCAGAGCCATGGTCTCGTGTAGGGCTACAGTCTAAGGGACACTGATGTCACATACTTCAAAGAGGACAACTAAAGAGCTGTAAAATCTTTCACACAGAGCTCTGGCTGTTGCCAGGTGTAGAGGCTGTGAAGGCCTAACTTTCCTTGTTTTCTCTAGCTGTTTGGGATTACAGTTTACAGTTCTGCACCTCTTCACACCTGAACTGCATTCACAGGTCCGAGTCTCCTTTGGAGTTTGATCAGCTCCTCTCCCAGGCCGTTCAGCCTCCAACAACAATTCCTCCTGTGGCCTTGGTGACCACTGAGAGCCACACAGAAAACAGCTCTAGTGTCTAATGCACACACTGCTGGTCTCACCTGACTCAGTGTGTGGCTGTAAGACTTTCAGCTGTTCTCCATTTTAGCACATTTATGTGTTCCGCTCCCCACTTTTAAAACAAAAATCTCGGTTGGAAATGCATGTACTGTGTTCTATAAATGGATGCAAGTGTTTTCAGAAAAATAAAGATGCTTTGAGCAACATTCGTAAAGTTCTTTCTATATCTACGTGTCCTTCCGTGTTCCTAGTCATCACTGTGTTTGCCCCATACCAGCTGGCAATACTCTGATACTGGGCTGAGCCAACAGTTGGGGCTGTAGCTGCCCCTCGGGGGTAGAGCATTTGCCTAGCATGTGAAAGGCCCTGGGTTCCATTTCCAACACCACATACTAAAAAGCAAAAGATGAGCAAATAAATTCTTCAAAGTGGCCTTCCCTAAAAGTGTGGGGGAGGGTGTGCACTGAGTGTCATGGACATCCCTCCTTTAGATGGCAAAAACAGCAAAACTCTAGTCAGTACCCTTCCCAGATGGGGTGTCAGAAAAGCCCCTCTCTCTCTTTCCATCATGTCTCCTCTCCCTTTCTTCTCCACCTCCCTTTCTTTCTTCCTTTGATTATCAAATGAATGAAATCTCTTCTATATTACTTGAAACAGGGAGTCTCTAAAACCACACAATTCAGCCTTTTAAATCCCATTGAATAGATGGTTCATGGCTGTTCTCTCCCTAATTGCCACCCTTCTAGGGGGTCGTTGCTGGAAACTTCTACTTCAGGATCTGTCTCTGACTCGGGGTCTGACCCTTTTCCTCTCCCGAGGTCACTGGCTTTACACGATGCAGTAAGAATATGAGCCCACTTGCCTCACTCCAAACTCCTCTGTCTGTTCTGAGGCAAGGTCTCACTGTGTCGTTCAGACTGACCATGAACTCAAGACTCTCTGCCCCAGTCCCTGGGTACTGAGGTCACAAGATTGCCACTCCCATGTCTGAGCCCAAGTCCCATTTTGAGTGTAATTTCAAGGTGTCCCTAATATTAAAACTTACTAACTTTTAATTAGTTTGGATGCTATCTTACTTCCTGTTTTACGGCCATTAGAAGTGCATCAGTCATGAGAATACATCCACAGTTCTTTAAAGAAATGGTGAGATCTTGAACAGACTTCTCCATTTCTATCCTTTCCTTCTTATTGGCCACAATATAGATCCCTGGTGGACACTACCCCGTTCATATCATTTTAAGAAACTATTTATAGTTTATTTTCCCCCTTTTGTTCATTTTGTTTTTTTAAGCCATTGGATAAATATAGAAAACAGAATTACACTTTCCCACTCCGTGACTAACAAGAACTGTCTTTGCTCTCTGAGAGTAAAATACTTCCCAGACAATATTGAATTTT